AAACAGAAGTGATGAAAATCGTGTAGTCCTCATTTGTTGGCTATTTGTAGATTGTTTTTTAATATATAGCTTAAATTTGAAAGCGGTGTAATTTTTGTTACAGTATTCAGATTGAGCAGATGTTTTAGTTTAAATTTGTTATCAATTGCCTTAACAAAAGTAACATGCATTTTTATGTAAAGTTACTAGTTTTGCACAATCTTAACAGTTTATTTTCATTTAGGGATTAAATTGAATGCTTTGGGTAAAATTAAGAAAATCCATGGTTCTAAATGCATGTTGGTTTCAGTCAGCCATAGCTTTTGAAATAAACAACAAAACACAAAAATACTTTCTTCGTGAWTTTAAACTAAAATAATTATCTTGGCATAAAAAGCGACGATGTATACGACGTGAAAGCATCGGCTTTCAGGGTTTTGAAGGCATAAAACCGAGTAAAATAAGACGCTCAATCCCTTGCCACATGCGACAATTTAATATAACAAATGTCCCTCGCAGCACAAACCAAAACGACRTCCAGAGGGGTGTTCAGTTTCTAAGTACGATGAATTACTTCTGAAAATGCATGAAAGCATTCAAGAAATCCCTTGAAAAAAATGCAACAGAACATTTTGAGTGTCCCTTATTTATTTATTTGTCTATAAAATGTCAGTCGCAAATATATCGACGCAGAGTATTTTTTTGAAAACTGATTTGAGCACTCCCCGCCAAACAGTCCGAAAAGTGGTTCAGTCCTGGAGGTTACCGGAAGTTGTTTCAGCTGCCATGTTTGGTTGCTTTGTTGTAGGCTTCTACTGGGTTTCCTACAGAATCACTAAGTGTGGAAATGGAGCCGAGCTGGAGTACGTTTCTCTTCCAAGTAAGTTGTCTGTTTGGGAGGGAAACTGGGATTAGTTCGTAAAGCAGCCACAAAAAAACAAATTACGCACTGCTTATCATAGCAGCAAATGCAGTTTTTAAACGGGGTAGCACTGAGAAGAAGTATCGAAGCAAAACAATGGTTTATGAATCCTGGCTTCCAGCTGTGAGGCTTGGGAATGACGCTAGAACAAAAAAMATCAAATCTCTTTGAAATAAACGCYTTGGTTAGCATTGTGCGCGATTTTTTTATTGCGGGTGTGAAATACTTCGACGGCGTTGAGGATTTTATTAAGTTTGGTTGTCTTAGCCGAAGCCAGCAAAACATGCGGTATGACTTGAAGTAAAGCTGGAGACGCCACTGCTGCACCGTTACAATCGAGACAGACCCTGTTTTTTTTCCCCTTTTTTTTTGACTGGAGGCTTTGATCGGGACGCCGCGAAATAATGAGCTGAAATGTCTGCGAGGATTTATTTTAACGCAGCGCTCCCTTTGTAGCTTTTCGAGTGGCTGGCGTTAGCAGACGCTCGGTTAGCAGCTGCTGAGATTTACTAGCGGCGATTCCCCCAAGTCCGCGGTCAACTTTCCGCTCGCTTTAGCCGGCTCGCCTGTAAACTAGCCAAGCGGCTAACGGTGTTTAGGCTACCTTCATTAAACTCGCTGGCTAATTCAGCTAAAATTGGGCGAGGCTGATGTAACGAACAAGCCGAACTTCACGTCACATGTCTCCCTAATCGGCATCATTCAGCTTTTTTGCTAATGAATTAGCTGTTTATTCTGGTGAGCCCTGTAGAAAAGAATTCAAACTATGCACACGGCACTAGCTAACATGAAATGAAGCTGCAGCTTTGAAATTAGCAACAACACAACGCAATTTAAAATGTTAGTGTTTCCCACGCACACWGAGAAAGTTTAATGCTACCTTTGAGTGCAATTTGACTCATTTTATGATGTTTAACAGAGGTTGTTTGCGATGAGCTAATTGTTAATTTTATGGCCCTAATAGGACTTAAAATGAACCTGGTTAAACGTGAAATAGTATTCAGAAATTTCATGCTGTATTATTTTTCAGCTGTTCATTGTTTTCCCTGAAATATTTGTTTCCATATTGCTTTTTGTAAGTCTTAAAATGTGCAGTTTTGTAAGTTTTTATGTGATAAACTTGTATGGAAAGTCTTAACACAGCATTCCACATCTTTGTTGTTGAACTACTCCAGGATGAGGTGCAAAAAAGTTTTTGCAGTAAAATATGTTTGCCTGTTATAAGTATCTTACAAAAGTGTGCAAAATTTATTCCATCTTCAAATACAAAAGGAATGTAGTGGGACCGAAGCTGATTAGTCAAAGTGTCTAAACGCTTTAAAACTTGGTGTATTTTTTTTTTAATTTATGAAACATATTTAAAGTTGAACACACTTCATTAAGTGTAAGACTTTTAATATACATAGTGTGTGTACTGTAAGTTACACAAGCTTTTGTGTTGTATAATTTAGCATTTATAAAACTTTCTGGAGTTTAATAATGAGCAGCTGTTCATATTTTTGGCTTGTTCCCCCATCAGTTTCTGCATGAAGCCATAGTTGTGTATTTTGTATCCCACTCTGTGACGCTTTGATGCAAATCATTGCGCAGTTTTGTCGAAATAATCCTTTTTAAAATTAATTGTGAAAAATCCTGATGATTCATCCTGCGCTTTGTGGCTTATTCTGGTTCTTTCCCCCCCAATTAAATCTTCCCCCAAATTCTTCAACCCATCCCCCCATGATGATACTGGAACACCACCACCAGCAGAGCTAATGGTTAGCAGTGGGTGGCACCTGCTCAGGCCAGTGACTGTGACCAATCAGGGAAAAACTGAGCTTTTTCCAGAGTGGACCAGTTCTTTTTAGCTTCTGTTTTTACAGAAAATCTCCTGAAGTGCATTTTAGTTAAAAACAAATAAATGTTTATTCTCTGTATAGTTGTGAAATTGCTGCTAAATTATATTAAAGGAAATGCGATTTGAAGCATATTTATCAATATTGTGAATCACAACTTGTTTTTAGGTATTTTGAATTGTGAAAACATACATAAGGGACACTTTAGTGGTTCAAAAAATAGTTCAAGTAACACTGAATATGATTCAAATTACGAGTTTTTTTTAGGTCAAAACACTATTTGATGTCAATGTTGTAAAGTCCACTCAGCAGGTGTTGTCATTGTAAATTATGTGACTGCAACTCTTTACAGTAGAATTAAGGTTTTTTAACAAAATACAGTTTTATTCTTGAAGATCCAGTTTAGTTATTGCTTTTTTTTTTACCAAGTACATTTTTCTACTTTGCAGATGATGTCTTTTTTTTTCGAATATCAATATTGGCAAAAATTTGAACCTGTTTTTATATATTCTTTATCACAACATACTATATTTGTTAGTTTTTAAAAAGGTACAACTTTGTTGTTCATCTTATTGACAAGATATATCAATAAAATCCCGCTGAAAACCATTTAGGATTTAGTTGGAAACAAATTCTGTTGTAAAAGAAATGTTAATTTTTCTACATCAGGACATCTAAGACTATCTTTGATTCAGATGAATTACCAGTATGAGAGTTTTAATAAATGTTAATTGCATTTATAATAAATTAAAAAGTGAAGTAATTTAAAAAACGTTTTCATCTTGTTACATGATGTAGTTAAAATCCTCTTAAAAGTCCTCCCAAAAATATTTTCTCGCTTCTAGAAGTTGTTGCATCATCAAACGAGGCTTTAAATCCCTGCAGAACTTTAGTTTTACGTGCTACCAAGAAGATGACCTATGAAAGCTGTGTTTTCCAAGAACAGTTGTCCAGTCAATAAGCTTGGCAGTATCCAGAGATTTTATAACAGAAAATTCAGTTCAAGAATGCCTTAGAAACATTCGAACACGAGGCTTTATTAGAGGGGGAGAGGGACAGTCTTGTAATATTTTGTTTAGTTTTCTCCTCCTCTGTTTCTTTTTTTTTATCTCTCATGGTTTCTATTTGTTGTTTTCACAATTGGGCAAGCAGCTGTAGAGTGTGACACAAAAGATTGAGGAACGGCGGTGCATAATCAGACTATGAGCTCGATTCAAGTCTACAGTGGCCCACGGAGCCGTCAGGACACTCCCTCCATTTTGATGTTATTTATGAGGGAGCAGCCCCAGTTGTCGGAGCGCATTTGTGTCAAAATGGTCAGAGCTGCATGAAGGCACAGCAGCTTACAGGCCCTGCACCTCTGTGTAGAGGGCAGGCTGTCTGTGGTGGCTACGTCTGCTGTTCACAAGCTTCACAAAGAGGTTTCCCGGCTGGTATCCCCCCCAACACACAAACACACTCCTGGTGTGCCAGCAGACAGGGTTGCATTGGCATGATGATGACTAATCCTGGAAGGTGGCAAGTGTAAGCAGGTGCTCAGACAAATGGATGGTGGCATGCTCCACAAGTTCCCAGGTCCCACCACATATGACAGCTAGTTTAGCTGAGTGGTGTGTGGATAAACAATGTCTCTGTCTCATGAATAGATGAGCCAAATCAATGAAGATGAGCATACAAAGATCCCCTGCTGAGGCCAGAGTGCATCACTGCTCAGATTTGTGTCTGTCTCAATAGACTAGATGACATAAGGAGGACATTGTGAGGTTCATTTTTCTTCTCGAACCCTGTCTCGTCTTTTGGCTACTCCTGTCTTTGCTGGCCTTCGTCGATGGATGATCGGACCTCAAAGGGAAAGGTCAAGTATTCCATCGTAGCCTTCCTTGGTGGACAACATGGACTTTCAGTTTACTGCAAAATCATTCGACACTTTCTTATTTCATTGTGTGCGAGTATTCAATTTGCAATAAAAATATTTTTTTAGTAGAGAAATGAAACAAATATTTGTTTTAAAGAAAACCTTCCCAGAAGTAAATAACAGTAAAATTAATATTGTGTTTTCATTCTAAGCTGTTGCTGCTCTGGCTATGTTTGCTTCCCGGCTATTTTTAGTGTAATTTGACTAACTACTAGTATCTCGGTTAACAAGTGTGCAGAGTTTTCATGAGCCATTTTCAGACAGGCAGTTTCCACTAACGTTTGTACATTTTCTTCAAAAAAGGAAAACAGTTTCACCTAGTTTATTAAATAGTTTTGGTGTGCAGTTTTTGGTAGCTGCAATCGTAAAAGAGAAGTTACAAAGTAGCTAATAACTCAGATTGGATTCTACTCTTACTTTTTTGTACTTTTTAATTTTTTTATTATTTTGAATTGACACTTAGAGGTGAAAATGTCCCCATGTATGCTTTGCGCACTACTCAATTTGGCTTATAAGTAATATCTAATAACTTAAATTAATTCAAACGTTAAATGCATAAATTGCAAACTTTTTGTTGCAATAAGCAATTGCATGCACAATCTAGAAATATGAATAAACATAACTTCTTTTTTTAACTTGTACTGAGCAGCTGCACTCAAATTCTCAAATTTGTGGCCTAGTTTTAAAGCTCTTTACTAGGTTGGTGCAACAAGACAATGAGCGCGTAACAGGAAACCCAGAGACAGTTAAGTGCACTTTGTTTGATTGTGCTTGCAACATCAAACAATCTAAAACAGTAGGATAAAAATGACATTGTGTGAACCCCAAAATTGAAATTTTGAGATGTAAACTAGAATCACAAAATGATAAGTTAGACCACTGATAAGTAGGACACCTTTTGTCACTCAATAAGTTTTTTTATTTATTTATTTTTTATCTGAGGCTATCGTATGGTTGGTCCCAATTAATTTCACATTTTTATTGCTATTGGTGGGTGTACAATGTTCAAAATATTATGAATTTAGCAATAGATGTCATTTTGGGTGGTCTAAAAGTTTGTGATAGTACTTCTTTTGATCACAATCAATCCAGAGCATCTTTTACAGGTTTAACATCTGCCCTGCAATGTTGAAACAGTAAAGGTTTCTTCATCCAAAACATAATTGCCCATTCTTAAATTATTGTCTTTAAATGCTCATTTGGATCCTTTACTTGCCCTTTTTCTTGTGGTTTTGAGTTTTTGATGTTAACTAGGGCTGGTCTGTCTGGAGTGAGTGAGTGTGGTATTTGGAGAGTGTGAGAGAAACCGAAGTCCCAGTGAATTAAAGACAAAACCACAACACTGTCATAACAACTTAAACTCATGGTTCTGAGTCATTTAATATATTTCACATAAAAAAATTGTGATGAGTTGATTATATCTGAGACTTGCAGTACAGGTTTGTTTTGACCCAATGTTTCTATGATGGCGTAGCCAAGTTAGCTTAGCAAGTTTTTTTCTAATCATAGTGTAACTGATCAAAGGGATAGAAATAAAGTGCCTTCTCTTCTCCTCTAAGATGGTTAAAATGCAGATACTACTATTTCTAACTGCTTTCATGAAGCACTCAGCATCAGATGTCAAACAGAAACTAGAAGTTGACTGTGCTCATTGACCTCGATCTTGATTATTACAAAACTGCCTTGATTAGAATCACAATAAACTGCCTGGGCTTCTTTTTTTTTTAATAGTTTTCTTTTTGCATTGCAAATTATCAAGTAATGTTTTACACTTACTTGCCATATTTAAAATATATTTGGGCATTTGCTTTTGAGTTTATGAACAAAGATGCATCTTCCTTGATTGCACAACTGTTGACTGTAATTACTCTTCTTTTTTTCCCCCTCTGCTTCAAACATGCCCAAACAAAATGCATTCATTCTCTCTTAGACAAAGCTCACTTATCTTGGCTGTTTGCCTTACCTGACAGTATTTTCAAGTCACAGTTTTGGCAAGAAATGAAATGCAAATAAATGGGTAAACAAAGCTGAGAAACTTGTTGCTTGTCCTAATTGTTCTAAGCAATTTAATACCATTTGTTCCATGGCAGTCATCCATATTGCTCTGCACCTGCAAAACCCAGGAAATACAGTGCATTAGGCCAGATACAAAGCAAACCATTGTCCCACTGTGTTTTCTGCTGTTGTATCTAGTTCGGAGATTTGTATTTTTTGTTTAAAGCTGTTTTCTGTTTCATTTAGCCACGTTTTTGGTTCTTTGTAACTCTTAACTAAGCTCCACGGTTGAGGTAATGGCCAGCTCTTCAAGAGCCTTCTTGGCAGCTAAACTAGACTCTGCTATGCCTCTAATTTGGTATGCTTGCTTTGCAGTCACATGATGAATCAGCACCGTCATGATGGGATCATTTTTCATCCAGTATATTTGGATTGTTTTGCATCAGTTGCACGCTGCATCACCCTCTTTTAATGACAGACCCACTTTGTATTCTGGAAGACCTTTCTAATGTTTTCTTTTTTTTCATTGAGCTGTCAGAATTGATTTTTGAGTCCTAGCTGACAGCTTCCAGTGTTGGAAGAGCCGTTAGCAACAACATGAGTTTTCTTTACATAGTGCAGAGAGTGTTAGCTGTTCTGAATTGCAATACCCCAAACTAGTGTCAATTCCTGCGACTATGTGTTAAAGCTCTGAATTAATTTTATCATGAAAAGTCTGAAACTGGTCCAGGATTAACCATAAAATGTGTGTGTGTGTTTGTTTCGTTAGCAGGCCAATGAAGCCCTCCACCACCAGCATCAGGTGGCCCAGAATAGCCTGCTGCCACTTCTTAATGCTGGAGCTGAGCAAATTGACCAGAAACCTATCCTACCCATCCAAATAGACCAGAAGCCTCCTGTCAGTGCTGCTGAACTCCTGAAAGACAATGTGGCTAGTGGAGGAGGCCAACGGCCACCAGTGCCTGTGATAAAGAAGGAACACAAAGGCAAAACCCCTTTTGTCTGTGGGTACTGCAACAAGGCCTTTCGTGACAGTTACCATCTAAGACGCCATGAGTCCAGCCACACCGGTATCAAGATGGTGTCGCGTCCAAAGAAGACAGCCCAAACAGCTCCCACCATGGTACCGATGATTGCCTCCATGCCGCGAGAGAACAACAGCAACTCATCCTACATCTCCACAGTAGCAGGCATCCTCTCTACGGCGACCACTTCGGTTTCTTCAGGCACGAGTATCATGACGTCATCTGCGATGGGCAACGTTCAGCAGCAAAATGTCCCCAAGAAACCCCCCAAACCTGTCAAGAAAAACCACGGGTGCGAGATGTGCGGCAAGGCCTTCCGTGATGTCTACCACCTGAATCGTCACAAGCTATCCCATTCAGATGAGAAGCCCTTCGAGTGCCCCATCTGCCAGCAACGCTTTAAAAGAAAGGACCGAATGACCTACCATGTTCGCTCTCACGACGGAGGGGTCCACAAGCCCTACGTGTGTTCTGTGTGTGGGAAAGGCTTTTCCAGGTAAGCACCATATCGCTGTATGTAAAGAAAGCTTTAATTCTGCCAAGTATAACAGATAAACATAACTTAATCACAGAGCATAAAAATATAAAATAGTCTTTAATTGTTTCTATAACTTTTATAAAGTACAAGGTTCCTGCAGATCCTTAAAGTCTTAAAAGGCCTTGAATTAATCGATCCAAAAATAAGGCCTTAATTAGCCTTAAAATGTCTTAAATCAATCTTTCAGAAGTCTCAAAAATGTTAACACATTGTTAATAGGATGATTGTAATTCATCTCAAATATTAAAATAATTGGTAACATTTATTTATTTTTTAAACATTCACATGCACTTTCCTCTTTGACATCACTTCCTGTTGCTTCACATGCAAATATCTCAACAACTGTCTGTCTGAGCATCGTGAAATTTGTTTTGTAATACAGTATGTTAACAATGTTGTCTTTCCAAAAATGCATTCAAATTTCTTACAAAAAAATGATGTCACAGGCATTTTTAGGTTTCATCTACAGCAAATTGGGGTTGAGACCCTACTGTGGGTCCTAAAGCTCTAAATTTTGGGTCGTTAGAGAATTTCCAGGAATTAAATTAAGTTTAAAACTGACTGCTAAGAATGTTTTTTGCTATATTTGACAAAAAAAGCAGTTAGATATGGTTAAAAACAATTGGTTTATTAGGAATATTTGAATACTTCAACCAAAGATACTTTGATTCATGAGTTTCTGCCAGTTTTTAATTTTTATTTGTTTTTCCTTTGTGTTTATTGTGAAATTGGTCTTAAATTTAATTTCACTTGGCATTAAAAAGTCTTAAATATAACTTTCCTTAAACTGCAGGAACCCTGAAGTAACATTTTCATCTGCTTCAAACAAAGTGGTCAGCTACAAGACACTGTAGCAGTTCTATTTATTCATATGCTTTCAATCAACAAGTAACGGCAAATAACAAGGCTAATCTAAACAGGAAGTTTGAGTCTGAGATCTAATTTGTTTTTATTTAAGAGGGAGAGTGTAGTAATTTCACCCTCTGGTGATTGCAGTCCTGGAATCCAGAAAAAAGTTTAAATGAAATTTTAAAATAACATAATTATAAATAAATTCTAACAGGATGTCTTACATCTCTGCCATTATTATTGTTAATAATAATTTTTTGGCAGCTACAGAGAGATTTTTGATAAAGCATTCACAACATGATTAAAATAACCAAGTGTTACAGAATTTTGGTTTTCCCAAAAATGCATTGAACTTCACCCCTGGCTTGTATTGCAATCATTGCAACAACTTGCAGATGAAATGAATTTGCTATCTGTATAGCTTTTCAGTTACTGGGTTTTTATATTGATGATAATGTTTTTGAGCAGATCAGTTGCGTTCCTATGACAGCCGTGCCGATTCAACCACATGTTTAAACAGTCGCACATGGGAGAGCGCCAGTGGAGTATCAGGAGAGGGGGGGAGGCCTCACTTGTCACTTTGCAGTTCCCGCCAGCTTGTCACAGACTCTTTCCCCTGGGAATTCAATGAACCATGTGTAATTTTAAGGTCAACACATTTAAAATGTTGTAAATAAACATGTTGCTTAAGAAGCTCTTAAGACGGTCTCATTTTTAGTTTTGGGAGTATGATTCGGTATTGATCAGGTAGGGATTAACTGCTATTAAGTCTGGTGTTGCAACATGCCTAAACAAAAATATCATCAGCGTACCCCCAGTCAAGCTGTTAGCATTAGCAGTGTGCTGTGCACGGCAGTTTCAGGCATGCCTCCAACGTGGTGACGTGTGCGAGGGATTCATCAGCATACAGGAAAGTGAGAATGGGGACTGAATAGCAGAGCACTGAGTCACTGCCACTCAGCCAGAAATGTGGGCATGCAGTGTCTGGAGTCTTCTCTCGTCAATGGGACACACAAATGGAAAGAAAAAAAAGGGGGGAGGAGGGAAAAAACACATCCGGTTTATAGCACTGCCAAGAAAATTCAACCAGACTTTTTAATTTGTTTAAAAAAGAAATCCAGCAGCATGAAATGTTCCGGTGTGGGAGCAGCTGCCAAGGCAGTAGCTCTTACTCACTCCAATATGGCCCAGCTAACATGATTCAGCTCACAGCTTCACTAGAGCTAACATGCTGACAGAGGACGAGCAGCGCCAAGAAGAATTTGTGAATGCTGGAGTTGCACTGTAAAGGTCAAGTGGCAAATAACTATCCCAGTGAACTTTGTGTGTTTATAAATAGATAAACACGTGAGTTGTGTTGTCTTCAGTGTTTGCCTGAAGTTGGATTTTGTTTGTTTTTAGCCTTAAAATGTGCCAGTCTGCTAGGAAGAGATGCAAAGATAGAATTTTATTGTAGAAAAAAGATTTATTTATTTATTTTAAATAAAGAAACATATTCAATAGGAATTGGTTGTATTTATGTTCTTTTTCCACCCATCATATTGATCAAGTTTTATGTATAAAACAATAGAAACGTTATGATTTAATTTTTTCATAAAACAAAGAAAAAAACAAATGGACTTCTGTTATGATGGTTCTGCTTCCGATTTAGGGATCTGAGAAGTTAAATATCTTTTAACTACGTTGATATTCTATATCCTAAATAATCAAACATCTACACCAGCAAAACTTGCAAGAGTGGTTCAGAATGCTGAATATTACAGTTTATATAGGGTGCTTAGTGATTTTTGTAGTTTCTTGACAATCTGGAAAAATACTGTTACATACGTTGTCTATCCATGTTACATGAATTTCTGTTTAAGTTAAAAAGTAATGTCTGGAATATAAATAATGTTTAGCAAACTGTCAGTTTACTGAAGTGTCGTGGAAAAAAGAGGGAAGAAAAGAAAAGTCCATTTCATTGTAGTGCATGTTTGAAACTAGGTCAAACCAATTCACGCACCATTGGTTGGTGAGAATTAACGGCCATTGACTGAAATTTTAAGGATTTTGTGCACATCTCATTATCAAAGCAATTAGAGCGCATCTGCCTAAATATAACCAGAAATGAACTTTTTTGTGTTTTTATACTTACGTGCAAAAATACACAATTTAAATTACATTTTTTAAAATACCAGATATTTGTGGTGTTCTAATCACTAATGGGGTAAATGAAAGCTGACAGGATTTCAAAGTGTTGGGTTTTTGATGTTGGGGTGAGACATTTGGATCAGTAAAATCCAGGACCACAAATTCACCAAACTCTCATTCTCTTTTTATGTTTTTATTTGAGAAGCGAAAACTCAAATAAAATCCCCGTGCTTCTGTGAAAGTTGGAAATCAAAATGTATTTGGTCTCATTTGTCTACGCAGACCGTCCCCGCATTGTCATTCAGCATTTAACTGTTTTTTTTTCTCTCCACAAGGCCAGACCACTTGAGCTGCCATGTGAAGCATGTGCACTCCTCAGAAAGACCGTTCAAATGTCAAGTAACGGTAAGAGTCTTTGTCGTCACTCCTTGTGTTTTAGTGGCCGTCATTTTCCATTGCGCTCCTGACCTTTGACCTCGTCTGCTGTACATTTTRCAGGCCTGTACCTCTGCTTTTGCCACCAAAGACCGACTCCGTTCCCACATGATCCGGCATGAAGGCAAGGTGACCTGCAGCATCTGTGGGAAGATGCTCAGTGCAGCTTACATTACCAGTCATTTGAAGACTCATGGACAGACCAACTTTAACTCCTGTAACAAAGGTTTGTCACACTTAAAAACATGTAAAACACACATTTTGCTTATCATTAAACTCAAAATACTTCATTCTAAAAACAAACTTTTCGTGTACACGATAGCATGTCAAAAACCCTACTAATCACAAGCTGCTGGCCAACAGTTAGCAAAGATGCTAATTTAATATTGAAAATGCTATAGGAAAGCTAACGTGATTAGCATTGTTTATAAATTAACATTGTTCAGTGTTTTGGTGCTAGTACAGTGTATAACTACAACTTTAAGTCACAAACTCCAATAATGTCTTTTTTTTCCAGAGGGTAATGATGGCTGCAACTCTGCCTCGGCTACGCCAGTGTCCGTTTCTGCCCCCATCACCTCAGCGATGAACCGGGTCAACTTGAACAACAACAACCCCGTCACTATAGCCGCACAAATGAACATTAGCACCAACACGGTCAACATCACGTCCCCCGTCAGCCTCCAGCACCCGGTCACTCTCACCGGCCCCGTCAACATTGCGTCTGTGAACATCCCTGCCTCGGCACCCATGAATATTGCCCACCCAGTGGCAATAACCACCCCAATGCCTATGAATATAGCCGGTCCACTAAACATCGCAATGAGGCCTGTAGACAGCATGCCTTTTCTGTCCCAAGTCTTGCCTTCTTCCCCTCCTTGGTAGAAAAATAAAATAAAGTTAGAGAGAGGAAAAAAGTATCAACATCTAACTGGCCAGAAAGAAAGGGAAAATGAAGTGTAACAAGAGWCTCCTGACCTCATATTTGCAGCTCCCCTCTCACCCCCCACGAGCTGCGAGGCCAGTAGGAGCTCCCAAAGTCCTAACTGTGTCCCAGCTAACGTTAAGTGACTGGCATGTGATGCAGAACAATTAAATAGACTTCTAGTAGGATTTATCTTGAAATCAAGACAGCCGTGAGACTTAGTGTAGGCAGTTAGAGTGATAAAACTGTGATTTGAGTCATGATGAATGAGAGCGGAGGACTTTTGATTTAAAAAAAACATACTTTTATTTTGTTTGGTTTTTTTTTTTTTTTTCGTTTTTTTTACTTAATATTTTTTATTTTTTATGGGAGATGTGGAATGGACTGAAGCAATAACCATGAATTGCTGTTTCTGACGTTTTACAAGATCTCTCCCGAGGCCGCTGGGCGCTTATTTGTATGTAGCTTTTTTTTTTTTTTTCGTTTTGTTTTTTACTTTTTATTTTTATTACTATAGCCTGCTAATCACTATTTAATGTTATAGGAAATGAGTTTAGAAAAAGGGACAGTCACTTCCACTTGCATGGAAGACTTATTTTTTCACAATGTTATAGCATTTCTTTTTCTCAGATAGTAGATAAGCTCTTGAGGTACAGTGACTAACTTGTACAGTTGACATAGTAATGTATTTTCACCACATTGTTTTTTATTTTATTTTTCCTTTCGTCATTTCAGTGGACAATGTGGACACTGGCCTCTTGACTATGAAAAACCTTTTCTACTTATATGGAAACACAAAAGTTTGTTTTTTATTTGTGTTTATTTTGTTATTTTTATTTTCCCATGAAGTCAGAATGGAATGAGTCTTGCACTGAAGGCAGATCCTACATGCAGGTGACCAGCAGTATTATCAAAGATCAAATGGAGTTTTAAGTGTTTCGGTCTGCCAGCCTACACTTAAGGGCCATCTAGTGGCAGAGTACGTATAAAGCCTGGCCTTGTAGTGAAGCTTTTCAAGCTGTTAATGCCACCAATGAGGTGTCAAATAGTTTAAGCGGACTTCTTTTTTTTAAAACATTGTTTTATTATTGCAATTATTTATCATTGTTCTGTTACAGCCCCACTATTATACACACGTTTTCACTCAGGAAAGACAAAGGTTCATTAATCATGAACTACTCTGTATCTCTTCGGTCTCCCTGAAACATTTGCAGTGTTCACTTCAAATTCGACTCATCAGGAATTCCAGATGTACTCATTTCAGCCGTCCATWTAAAAACCAATCATTTACTGTACGATAAAATAGATGCTGTACGTCTYTTACTTTACACTTCAGTCTCGGTCTGGAACTGGATGAGTTTCGATAAAAGTACCATTTTTTTGCACCCATTTCCAAAAATAACAGGATAAGATTGATGTTGCATGACCCTAAAACACTGTAGCTGTTCAACATTAACGATTTTCTTTTTATTTTGTCGATGAATGCCATGTTATTTCAGCAGTGTTGCAGCTCGATTGAGTTGGTTCAGTTTATACAAAGAAATGCAATATGCATGTTTGTCAGTTATTTTTCCCCCCCAAGTTTTTTTAACAAAATGTTAGTGTAGCTTTTTTTTATTCTTATGCATTTACGTAGATACACTATAATAGCCTGATTGCCAAATTTGAAACATTTTATGATGTGAAAACATGAATTATTCTTGTGAAATTGAACATCTCGTTTATTTTAAGAAAAAAAAGTAATAATTGGAAATACCAGGACCCTTGTGAAAAGCAGTTGAATGTATATCTTTGTACAAAACCTTTAGTTCCAAGGATATGGTAGTTACAATAGATGTGAAAGATAAGAACCTTTTTTATAAATCTTTTGTATTAGAACATTAACATTGATAATTTTGTATATATGAGAGGCTAGGCTTTCTGATTAGCAGAAAGGTCAAACATTCCTACATTTTTTAAATGTACGTTTGTCAAATTATTACTTAAACATGCGCAATGTTCTGTGCCTTTTATTTGGGTTGTCTAAATAAAAGAAAATTATCAGATGTGTTTGATGTATGAAGAATTGTTCGGTTTTAAGACAGTTAGAAGTGAGTTATGTTTAAAGTTGTCTTCACTCTGTTTATGKGGGTTTTGAAAGGTGGTGATTGACTACAAATGCTTGGATTCTGCTTTAAACTTTGGCTCGACTCCAGTTAGTCCCAGCCTTAAACCTGCCCCCACAGTATGATCCTGCCACCACCAGAGGTTGTGTTAAGAGAGTCTTTCTATCCTCCATTTACTAAAAGATAAATCTGAATTTCTTTTGTTGCTCAAACGTAATTTTTCCCAGTAGTAGTCTAGCTATAAGTCATAGATCGACTTGTTTWACATCAAAACGTAACATAGTTTTAAAAAAGAATCTTGAACCTTTAAGGTCATGAACACCGCAAATAATAAACTTCTTGGTATTTGTCAGTTTTATTAGGATTTTAAACACGTAGGCGGGGAAATAAATGTAACTACCATTTAAAATGTTCTTGTAAATTTCCAGGACCGTTAAATTTCCTGACAAAGGATCACCTCCTGGGCTGGGGGCGTCTCTGACTACACACATGCATCTTAGGCTAGCTAATTCTAACAAAATGATGATGATAATAATAATGCATTATATTTATAGGTGCCTTTTAAAACTCCCAAGGTCACTTTACAAAAGTCAATCGTAAAATCAACTGCAGGTATGAGTGAGAGTGGTTGTCTCATGTCCCACTGATGGACTTGTGAACTGCCTATCCTCTCTCACAGTTACTGCTGAAGATTTTTAATTATAATTTATTTTTTAATACTTTATTTCATTCGAACATCAATTAAAACAATACAAATAATAATGTTGCATTAAAAAAACACAACTTGGTCAAATGAAAAGGAGCAGAAAGAAGAAAAAATCTTGTAACATCTGCCCCCCATATATCYACAAAACGTACAACACAGAAATTAAACTCAGTATAGCTTAAAATAATCAATACATCACAATAGAAATCTCAATTTCAACCAATACTTTGTTCAAATCTCATTTTAAAAAAACTTAAGCTTTCTACCAAATGAATAAACAGTTCCAGCATTTTTAAGGTCATTGTCCAAGTTGTTMCACAGTTTAAKTCCTCRAACAGAGGTGCATCACTCCCTCAAATTTGTCCTAATTTTTGGCTTTACAAACATTTCAAGTCCCTTCAAATTATAAACACTATCCCTCTTAWCAAAATAGGCACCAGCTCCTCAAGACCCAGGTGTAACAAATAAAACCCCTCCCCTGATTGAACCCAGGTAAAGTTAGTCCTAGGCCAGAGTATACCCTGGGAAATAAACAGTCCTAGGCCAAACTATACCCAGATGTGTAGAATAGCCTAGATCAGACTAGAAGATCAGACCTTTTAAATGAAGGATGTGGACTGCTGTCTGATACTGAGCAGTTTTTTTTTGCTTGCTGCCTAAAGTGAAGTTATTTTAGTTTGTGTAAAGGTTTGTGCTGGTTAGACGATGCAAACGACTTCATGTCTTTGGCAGTTTTGCGAACAATCTTGCAGGTGCCGACAAAGACAAGAACAGGGAAGGTGAGAGCAGCGTTTCTTGGGCTAAAGAACATCTTGGTATCTCTTTCAGTGAGAACTAAGCTTTGCACATTTACATCTAATGTGAAAACTGCAATTTTGGGAATTTKCTGGAAGGATGGAGTAAAGAATGAGGATTTCTTGGAATTTACAGAAGAACCTATAGCAGGTAGTTGGACCCAAAACAGGATGCAATGGAAAAAACTCAGATGGCCTAGGTCCTGCTGATGGGAATACTGTATATAGAATTGGTTTGTGTAAAAGACTAATATCTAATGAAATGTTGGATACATTAGATGAAACGAGGTAATTATTGGGTATACATTCACAACTTCTGGGAGTTAATCCAAGTCAAGATGGCTGCCACAACCTTACTGACCTCAGCCAACACAGAACTGGTTCTAACTCGGGTTTACAGATCTGTACTTTGAGATTGCACAAAACAGCTGTACGTCCATCTCTTAGCACAAGACGATTTCAGTTCAGAACCCTGACATGAAAAGCAGAGTGTGATATGCATTTCTTTGAAGAACCCTAGGCCTTTCATTAAATGAAAGTGTTTTTTTTTCACTTGCAGAAGAATTGGTCTGAACCTGCTGCAGCAGTAGATTGCCACAAACTAATCAGACATGTAGCATCTTGCTGAAAACACTGAAGCTCCTTTATTCTGCCTGGTTTTCTGAAGTGTCCTCAGAGGTGCATTTTCACTGAAGTATCTTCAGCCCCTTTACAACTTTCCTCCTCGTTCTTTAGAAAAGCTGCATCGTTTGACCTGTTCCTGGGTAATTTCCATGGTACAGTTCACATTCAGTAGTGTTCCCACACAGCCTCCTGTCCGCCTGTACACATCGGAGACGTGGTGAGAGGACAGTGCCCCTGCCGTGCCGATGACACGTCTGAGCTCTTCATCCAGTTCTTACACAGAAAGGTGGCTCAAGCCTTTTTAAATTATTATTATTGAAAATATTTCTACATTTAAATAAACCTTGGAAACTCCCTGGGACTCAGACATCCTACAGAGAGGAACTCCAGTTTGACTCAATCACAACAAAAGTTCTACTTGGAAGCAGAAATTCGTACAACCTCATTCTGACTCAGCACTTCCACTTCAACAGGACATCCCTGCGGATCCTGTTCTGACAGATTGGGGTTTTAGGAGATGTAGTTTTATTTTTAGGGTTCCTGAAAGTTTAAGTGGTTTTCTTTGCGCTTTCAAGTGCTTTCATAATCATTTTTTCAGATGGAAGCATGTTTGAGCTGTAATTTGTGACTCACTCCAACCTAAAAAGACTCACTAACCACAGGGGTAGAAAAAATGTCAACAATGACAATTTAACAAAAGAAATGTTACAAATTAGATCTTTAGACGCTTCTATCTGTCACAGAGACACAACCTGTTCCCATTTTTTAGCTGAAATTATCAAACAAACACACCAAAGATAACAGTTTAAGTCACAAAAAAGAAAAGATGCTGCACAGTGACCAAGGCTTTTATTCTGAAAAGCTTTTTAGAACTCTTATTTTGGTACCTTGACATGTTTAACTGTAAAGACCAAAACATGGGTTTAAAGTTAATAATAAGCCATAACTGTTTTGAGACTTTCAGCTTGTTTTGAAGGTTTTCTGCCATCTATTGACCAACTGTTGTTTCATTTGGACATTCCAGTTGTTCTTTGCGACCGTCGATTTCGGCCTTGGAGTTTTTGGCTCCAGCACAAAAATCATTTTTAACAAAGTTTACACTTTGAGTGCGTACAGTTTGAACTTTGATAAGTACATGAATTATTGGCAAACCTGATAAAACATCCACGATAGTTCATTTGTGACAAAGTAAACAGTTGCTCATAAATCATAAAATATTTAAAACTGATTAGTCACATATTTTTTGATGAATCAAAGCTCTGTCTTCCCAACATGCCCAGCTTTTTATTGCCTGCTGCCTAAAGGCAAAGGTAGATGATAATGTTTTTTGTCTGTGTAAATCTGTTAGCAAAATATTCCATGAACCTCTGGATACATTTTAATGAAAACTTTGCATGAACCTTAGAAAACACAAAAATATTAAGTTTTGCAAATGTGCTGAAATTTGTTGTGGTTGTAGCTGAGACATTCACAACAGCCACTGCACAAGATCTTTATGTAATGTTTTAACATCAGTTATTTGTGCCAAACCTGTTTGATTGTTAGCTAAATATATCATGAACCAATGGGTAGTTTTAATGAAACCTTTGAAAATAACCACTGGACTACAACCATAGCTAATCAAACTTAGCCGACACATAAATAGTTATGACTCAGTTAACTGAACAGATCTTGAGCTAAAATTAAATGTGGGAGTAGCTGAGAGTCGACCGCAACTCATCTTCAGCTTTTCTCAATGCTGTATGAGATTAATAATGTTCTTTTCCAATTTTGAAAACAGCTAAAACATCAGCTGCAACTTCATTATTTTGCAACTCGAGGCTGATTTACTGACAAGCAACATGCTTTCATGTTTATTATGTTTAATTTTTGATTCACTAAAAGTGTCTGCACACTCAGCCTAATAATGGTTTTTTAACTATCTGAATGTGACGTTACACCGACTGTCCAGCAGGTGGGGCTGTCTACACACATTTCATGTTTGCAAGGCCAGGCAGTTGGTGTTCCCAGATTTTTACTTTTTTTATTTTTTTTCCAAAATTAGCAGTACTAAATGTTGTATTTTTTGCAAACTTATTCAAGCCATCGGAGGTGGGGGGTGCAGAAGGATGGAAAATGAATGCAGGGTGGAGCATTTAGCCAAGGTTCACTGCTCTGTCTTCTTTTTACTTCCTTTTTTGTGGTGGTAATCTATTCATTACAGGCAATAAAGTTTAGATTTTACCAGGCCTGCTTACAAAGTAAAATGATTGATTAATTCTTGACAGGCTAAAACAAGAAAAAAATGTTTCAAAGTGGTATACCAAAGAACTGTTTGTTTTATTTGTTTATGTATTTTTTGGTTGGGGGCTGGGGGCTTAATGCTGCAAATAATTAGCACAAATTTCCCACTTGTTAACGTTTCATTTCGATTCCAGTCACAACAGCAATCAACTGGTTTTTCCAAGGAACTAATATTCAGAATTTAACTGCCTGCTGGGAAACATCTGTGCAAACCTGACCAACAAGGCGTGTCTTGAGTGACTGTGTAACCCTTTGAATGAGGACCTTGCTCCACCCCTTCCCAGTCACTTTTACAGACTTTGTGACACACACACACATACACACACATARAGCACTTCCTGGATTGTAACACACACACAACTGGTGGGTGTGGCAGTAAGGCAAACATAAACTGGTCTTGAGAATGGCTCTAAATATTGACTGCAGCGTATTATCTCTTTAACACCCTAAGGAAACGTTTTTACACTTCGGCTGATGTTTGTCATCGCCGTCACACATTCTTGTAATGATTGGAGCAAATCTGCACAGTGTTGAT